ACATTAAAATGTGATGCAGCCGACGAATAGTGAGACACTCGATCAGCGCGGGATTAGTGGACTATTCACCTCTGCTGGGAGCAGTGGATGGTCAACCTCTGAGGTCTGTGCCCAGGGACTCTCTGGGTTCCAGGCACCGATCGGCCTGTTCCCTGAGTCAAGTTAATCAGTTGCCAGTTTCTCTGCCCATGTTTACTCTTCCTGTGGCTTCAGCTCTGGATACTATGGCGGTATCTGCTCCTCCTGCGGCATCTACTCTTACTTATATAGCAGCTTTTACCCTCCATGCCGAAGAAACCCGCCCTCTTATCCCATGGTCAAGCAGCTTCTGTGTGAATCTGCTGAGTCACCTGCTGCTTCTCCCTCGTCATTTTGGTCCTCCTCTTAGAAACTTGTCGGATGTCCAGCTCCACGGCAGAGTTTCCAGCTGTCAAGGAGTCTTCTAGAGCATCGGCTCAACAACTTCTTTTTTGGATTCTCCTTTCTGTTTGCTCCTACCAAGACCCCTGTCTAGTTCCTTCTCCTGTCCGGGACCCCCTCTCCATGATGGACTCTGACGCAAGATTGTGCCTTTTTTACCAAAATTTAGTGTCATGTGTGTCCCCATCTGTTTTTAATTCAGTTCCTAGTTTCCACCTGCTGTCTTCTGTTAACGCTGCGTATTTAAGCCCTTCTGTTTACAATGTGCAGGCGGCACAGTGGCACAGTGGGTAGCATTGTTGCCTTTCAGTTAAAACGATGTCAGTTTGAGGCTTGCCTTAGACCTTCCTGTGGCATGTTCTTGCATGGGTTTCCCCCACAATCCCCAAAACATGTGGTTAGGTCATTTAAAAGATCTAAATTTCCCCTTATGACTGGCGACCTGTCTACGGTGTCTCTCACCCAACATGTGCTGGAGATCCCTGTGACCCCAAAAGGGACTAAATGGGAAGGAAAATGAATTAATAAATGTTCACAATGGTTCCTGTCATTATTGATGTATGTTTCCAGTGTTCTGTGTGTTAGCCATAGAATTTATACTTTTTCTATACATTTTTCTGATGTTTGCTCACTTTTCATATTTAATGTAGTATAATAAATGTAGAGTTCGTGTAAAAGAGTAAATTTGCTGTCCCGTCAAAAAAAACTAAACACAAAGCAGTTAAAGTCTAAATCCCAGGGCTCAAAAGTGAGCTGTCAGACGCTGTGCAAAGGGCTGTATTTATGTTATGGTTTCATTAGGGACAGAGCTCCCCGACCACCCCTACCTCGAAGGAAATCGATCAGAACATCAGCAGAGCCCTCCGCTGTGACGTACTTGTCTCCTCTCTGGATCAACAGATATGATTCCTCTCGTCAGATTCTCATTAATGCACTGAAAGGCTTTTAATTATTTATTTACTTTGCTTGTGATGCACGTCTTTGACAGAAAAGCTCTAACCGCAAGCATCCTGTCATTGCGCTGTTGCTCCGCTGTGAATCAATCGAAACGGCTAGGTTGAAGACAGCCTGCAGGTAGCTCACACTGATTGAATCGAGTTCAGATGATCAGATATGCAGCTCTGATGCGACTCGACTGTGCCACGTGGTAATGAGCCCAAGAGTATCTGATGCCTGACTTTTCTGTGCCCACTAACGAGACCCCGATGCATCATGGGCTGACCGTCTGCTTCTGTCCTGCGGTGTCGTAATGAAGCTTGAGAGGCCTCACACCTCACCGCCGCCATTGCTCACTGCCGCCCCTTGCCTTTTAATGGCTTGTTTGTTTGCCTTTGTTTTATTCCTTCTTTCCGAAAGGCAGTCCTCTAAATCTGCCTGGGGGTCTCCTTGATGTTTGCTTTGCATGGTAAGTGAAGCTGTTTTTTTGCCCGAGGCGAGTGCATCTGTACTCGATATCTGAATGAGGTTATTAATGTCCCCTGTTTGCACTTCTTTGGGATTTTTCAACCATCATTTTCACTCAGGATGGAAAATGTGTGCTTGTCGGTTTTTGCATGCACTGGGGGAAAGTCCTTGCATTGCTCGGGCGAACGGTTTAAGGCCATAATTCTTGCTTAAGTACAAGAGGTCAGCATATTTGCAAACCGTGAGCAATGGATGGAACACCTCCTGAATTATTCAAACGGCACCAAGTCATGTTGGCGGCATAAAAGGGAAAATCGAATAGAAAAAATCTCACGTGAGACTGGCATTTGGTGGTCTTGTAAACACCTCTGATTTGAAAGGGCTTTACATTAACATTTTGCATTCCATTTATGCCAAAAGCACAGAGGCTTTTGTTCAGAGGACAAAGCATGGGCCTGAAGGTAAATATGTATGTTATCAGTGCCTAGATACCTTAGAAAATGAACTCCTGGCTTTGGCATTCTGTGTTTGACCTCCTGGAAATACTGCAGGAAATGTCTTGTTCAAATGCAATTTGCACGCATTACTTCTTCAGATCTACTCTCTTTTACTTTTCTAGTTATTGACACAATGCACATTATTTAAAAGCAGCTTCACAGGATGAAATGGTTCACTAGTATGATTCATTTTATGGTGAGAAGCATTTTTGCATGTTTTCAATCCCCAAGTTTACTGGTTTATTCCAGTACTGTAAAAAAAAAAAAAAAGATGGACGATGTGACACCACTCCCTCTCATCGGGCCATTTGAGGAAACCATGGGTATGACCATGATTGTGTTTCTGAGGTAGACTTCTTGATAAGAAGGGAACAGTCTTGGTTTCAGGGGTCCTCCTCGAGTCTGACTCGCACATGCCCCTCTCATACGTGATCTGGTTTTGTTTCGAACATAAACATAAAAGGATTTGAGAACGGCTTCTCTGAAATTTGAATTTTTTTTTTCGCTCATGACGTGATGCCAGTGGTAAGTCAACTCTGTTCAGGGTGGCTGCCAACCACAGTGCCCCTACTAGTTTTTTTGGGGTAATTGTCATGAGCTACAGAAAAATACACTGTTTTCCAACAAACCGACTAGCACAAGCCATAAGGTGCAAACACTCTAGTGACACACAAATGTATAATGTCAATAAATAAAGTTGGTAAACCACAATGAAACAGGCTCATTTGATGCAACTGTGGTGAACAGGCCATTTCTTGGCCTGAAAACATTTGGGGCTGAGCCCAGACCATAATTAGTGACTAGAAAGTGTTGATATGCCTTGAATAATAACAGATTCAAGGACTCTTACCTGTTAATTGTATTTGGCACAACCTGTAGGAAAACTGATGTCATGACTTTTCATGTTTTGATTAAGTCAGCCTTAATTTGTTTTCACACACAAAATAAAAGATGTTATTTAATTGCTAATTTATTTTTTAATTAAACTTGTCTTGTTAAAGTGCGTTTCATGGAGGAATCAGCTGACATTCACATCTGGGTCACCACTGAACACAGTCACAACTCATTCATTTGTTTTCCTGCTTGCTTATTCCCCTTCGGAGTCACGGGGGTCCGCTGGTGCCTAAATATAGCATACATCAGTGAGAGGCGGTGGTTCAACGCAGGGCAACACTCACACATTTACACCTAAGGCAAATTTACATTATTCAATGTTGTTTGGGGGGGGGGGGGACCCATGCTAGCCCAATGCAAAGCACATGGGAGAACATGCAAACTACCCAATGCGCAGCTACCAACAAAAAAATTGCTCATCTTCTTCCTTCCTGTTTCTCCCATGTGGTGAGAAGTGCATCTGTTGTCCTGTAAACGCCATCTTCAGGCAGGGAGCATCATTGCATAAATATTTCCTCGGCCCAGACGAAAATTTGAATATCTGAAGAGTCATGCGAAACTCAATTCGGATCAGTGTGTGGAGGTATTGAATCTGTGAAGAGCCAGATCACGTGACCAACGTCCCTCCCACAACACGAGTGTGAAACACAAATGGCTCATGGCAGTAATTTTATTTTGGATGCGTTAAATAGAATAGTTATACAAGGGTTAGATTTAGGTTACAGTCTGCAGCGAGGATTAGTGATTAGCATGATACTTTGAAAAAGAACCCTCAGGAAATTTAAGTCTGCAAAAGGAGGTTCAAGCTTTGCATGAGAAAAGAATACCAAAGATTGTCTCTATTTTTTTGCAATACTCCATGTCTTTAATAGTGTTTCTAAGATAATCACTCGTCACAATGATCTCAAGAGGCACAGCATCTTTGAGAGGACAGAAATCAAAAACCAGTGTCAAAGATCATGAACAAGCATCACCGGAGGTGCAAGGAGTACCAGAGAAGTGGGAGGAACTACTGGGGAAGCAGGAGCCGAGGAACTTGAGGCGAGAAAAAGGCTAGTGCACGGACTCCAGGGCTACTCCACGTGCATAGCCCAGAGGTTGATACTCGTGGCACGGATACCCATCCTCGTCCAAGTCAAAGAGACTGGGTATGGCACCTGGATGCCAAGGTGCTACATAACCAAGCTAAGCCAAACCAAGTTTGTTGTTTTGTTGGTTGATTATTCTGTTACATTTACTGCTTCACAAAAGCATAAACGATGAATATAAGAGTATATTTTAACAGCTACAGAGAACAAGGAGAACACAAGGAACTAACACCCATAATCAAAAGGGGTACAAGGTAAAATGAAAGGCTTAAATACCCGGGGAAACAATTAACATGATGAGACACATGGGGACATAGTCGGAACGGGAATATGACACCTTAACACGTTCTCCTTAACAGTTCCTGGCTGGATGGAATTGTCTTGTCCTCCCAATCTGGAAAGCTGAGTCTCTTTCAACATCTTTCGAGAGCACTTACTAACTTAAACAATTATTTAAAAAAAAAAAAAAAAAACTCTAAAGCATTGAATTTATTTGCTGTATCTGCTCAAACGCTGTATCAATCTGACCTTGTAGTAAACTGCTTATGTTTACTCCTGAACTGTAAATGGCTTTGGATGAAAGCATCTGATAAATAGTAACATGTAAGTTTACTGTGTCTTCTAGACAGGAATGGGACAAAGAGACACCCAAAAACAGAAAATGTTCTTAGTCAACTATTTTGTGAGGAGATTTTAAAGGCACCACTAGGATTCGAACCCAGGACCTCATGTTTTCTAGACAGGCATTTTAACCTACTAAGCCATGCTGCACTGTTTTGATGAAAATCCACAACAGAGCTAACTGCAGTCAGGTTTTGAACTACAAGGAACATAATAGAAATATATTTTCACAATGAAAAAATTCCAGTTGCTATTTTTTGAGGAAAAGATTTTTAAGCAACCACTGGGATCTGAACCCAGGACCTTCTACTTTACAGGCAGTTTAAAGAACGGCACCCTGTTTAGGTGACTTGTTCTGGGTGGGTAGGAAAAGGAATGGAACAAATTCAAATTAAGAGACACCCAAAACAAGACTTTTAACCGAAGAGGTACATGGGTAAACTAAAGGTTTAAATACACTGGGGAAATGGGGTTAACATGGGACACAGCAAGTGGAAACGAGGAGACACACGGAACAGTAACCGGATGCGATTAAAAATTGCTCAGAAAGGCTCATAACGCGCAGTGGTCGACAACATTTAGCCCCCAAACTTTGTGTGATCAGCTCAAGAATAGAGAATAAAGCTTTTTCAAATGGGTTTCATCGTCGCGGGGCTGCATCTCAGACATACAACACCAAGTGCATTGGATCAGTGTTGATTCATTTTTAGCATTTTCTCTGGAGTAACCAATCACATTTCTCTATGGTGACAATCGGAAGGATGAGTCTGTGTTTGATGGTTTCTCGTTAAAGGGTTCTTGTCTGACTGCATTGTTTGGGGTGGGCATCTTTCTGTTCCAAGATAAGTGCACTACAGTACTCAAAAAAAAGGTCCATCAAGACTACAGTCAGGTACAACTTCACTGTCCTAACCTTCACTCAAAACATGTTTGTCAGGAAAGTGCATTTTTTGTTTCATTTAATAAATCAATAATTGGCGAACCCACCATACATAGATCTAAGATTTTTTTTGTGTGCCAGCATTCAGTGTGGATAGCTGCATCACAACAGGCATTTTAGCATTGCTCAAAAGTAACTTGAGCTACCTCATTTATTTATAAGAGTAATTTAAAATCATTTGAGTCTAGCTGTGATTTTTAGGCTTTTCGCTGCGCGCATGTAGCTGATACACTCTTGAGCCTTGGGGCTTAAATGATGAATGCCATAAACGCTGGAGTGATGAGTAGCAGATAAAAACAGCTAGAGTTGTATGATTCATGCACTCATTTTTTTACAAGTCATACAATCACTTCTAGGGTGAGACATCTGCAATCTCTAGTTTTCCAGCCCAGCGGACACTACATTTCCTCTCTAGCCATAATAGACAAATCACTCAAAGCCAACCAAATATGCTGAGAAATCTCATTTAAAACCCTTCAGCCTGGAATTTCAGAGTCCCATCAGCAAACCCAGAACTGCAGCCGTGTCCCGATGACACATGAATTTAATCGCATGACAAATCAGAGTCAAGAAAAGACGGGAATATTGCACCTTCACCACCTCCGGGGAGAGTTGCAATGATCAGATCATTCACTGCATTTTTTTAGATGTGTCCCTGAGTCTTTTGGGTTTTTAGCAATGCTACCTGTTTCACAAAGTCTTTCAAAGCTGAATACATTGTTGTAAGTGAAGCATGTAGAATTGTCATCATAAAAGTAATTTACTGAAGAGACTTCCACTTTTTATTTAGAATTCCATTAAATTAGAAACAGAATGGAAGACGTATGGAATGGAACAGAAAGGAAACGTATGACTCCAAATGGCAAATGAACATCTTTTAATGACTTCTTTATAAATATTATAAATTCTTCTTTTCCTTTCGGCTGTTCCCAGTTTAGGGGTCGCCACAGCGAATCATCTGTTTCCACTCTGTCCTCAGCATCCTCTACTCTTGCACCAACTAACTTCATGTCCTCTTTCAGTACATCCATATATCTCGTCTTTGGTCTTCCTCTTGACCTCTTGCCTGGCATCTCCATCTCCAACATTCTTCTACCAATATAACCACTATCCCTCCTCTGCACATGTCCAAACCATCTCAACCTGGCCTCTCTGACTTTGTCTCCAAAACAACCAACCTGAGCTGTCCCTCTGATGTGCTCGTTCCTAATCTTGTCCATCCTCGTACTCCTAAACTGAACCTCAACATCCTCATCTTTGCTACCTCCATCTCTGCCTCTTGTCTCTTCCTCACTGCCACAGTCTCTAACCCATACATCATAGCTGGTCTCACTACTGTTCTGTTCACCTTTCCTTTGATTCTTGCTGACACTCTTCTGTCACACAACACCCCTGACACTTTTCTCCACCCACTCCAACCTGCCTGCACTCGTCTCTTCACCTCTTTTCCACACTCCCCGTCACACTGGACTGTTGACCCCAAATACCTAAACTCCTGCACCTTCTTGACCTCAGCCCCCTGTAACCTCAGGGTTCAACTTCCCTCCCTCTCGTTAAAACACATGTATTCTGTCTTACTGCGACTGACTTTCCTCTTCGTTCTAGAGCTGACCTCCAACTTTCTAGGTGTTCCTCCACCTGCTCTCTGCTCTCACTACAGATCACAATGTCATCTGCAAACATCATTGTCCACGGAGATTCCTGTCTGACCTCATCGGTCAACCTGTCCATCACCATAGCAAATAAGAAGGGACTCAAAGCTGATCCTTGATGTAGCCCTACCTCCACCTTGAACTCCTCTGTCTGACCTACAGCACATTTCACTGCTGTCTTACTCCTCTCATACATATCCTGAACTACTCTGACGTACTTCTCTGCCACTCCTGACATCCTTATACAGGACCATAGCTCCTCTCTCGGCTCCCTGTCATAGGCTTTTTCTAAATCAAAAAGACGCAGTGCAGCTCCTTCTGACCATCTCTGTACTTCTCCATTAACATTCTCAGAGCAAAAATTGCATCAGTAGTGCTCTTCCTGGGCATGAAGCCATACTGCTGTTCACAAATATCCACTTCCCTTCTTTGCCTAGCTTCCACTACTCTTTCCCAAAGTTTCATTGTGTGGCTCATCAACTTTATGCCTCTGTAGTTGTTACAACACTGCACATAAATATTATAAATACCATTGTTTAATGTATATCTGCTTTATGCACCGATTATATGGTTTATTTCAGTGAACTAATCTGCAAGCTTTCTTTTGTTCTGATGTGATTGAGACACCAGCTCTCCACCTGCTCCTCAACACCAGAAACACTGCTGAGTGACTGTATTTTAATAATTGAAATGGCAGAGGTGTGGGCTTGAGTCATTTGACTTGGACTTGTCTCAGACCCGAGTCAGTAATGAGATAACTTGCAACTCGACTTGCACTTGAACTCCAATGACTTGCGACTTGAATCGGATTTGAACCCCAATGACTCAGAAAGACTTGAATAATAATTCACATTCACATTTTGAGCCGTGTGAGATCGCGTCTTGCATGCTTCTGTGTCAGAGGGAGCAAGAGCGAGAAAGAGAGGGAGAAAGAGAGAGAGAGAGAGAAACGGGACGCGAGAGACGCGAGACGGCTACTTCAGTCAGAGTCGACGTATCTAAGGGACATTATGAGCATAAAAGAAATTGAGGGGAGGGCAGTGGACAAAAGCATTTATTTATCGTTTTAAAAGCTATATCTTGTCACATAAACGGTTTGTTTATGATGTTAGATTAGGATTCAATATGAAATAAATGCTATATAAATTTTATGTCAAGTTTATTTCTTTTTGAAAATGAATCCGTTATAATATTAATCATCCTGAAATAAAGATCAAATGCATGTTGTTTGGTTACGCATGTGCAAAAGAACCCTGTCGGAGTGTCCTGTCAGGTGTTGGTTCAAATCTCTAAGCAGAGCTCGTAAAGCCTCAATCGCGATAATGATAGCTAAGATCTTTTCATTTGGGTATAAAAATGAAGGCTTTCCTAGTCAAGTCCAAACAGTAGAATCAGTCACAGATGGATGATCGAAAGAAACCTGTGATATTTCAGATTTTATTTGTATAAATCTGCAAAAATGTGAACAGTTCTGTGTTTTTCTGTCAATTTGTGATGCTATATGAACAATAATACGTTACATATAAAAATACTACTTTAACAGCAACATTTACCTGTGCACCTTTATGGACAATGTACAATTCAAGCTCCTCATTTATCGTGTGTCAACATTCCCTCTACACTTAATCCGCATACGCAGACAACAAATACCATTAGTATCAAAATAAAAGTACTGTAACTTTTGACAGAAACTTGCAAAAAAAAAAAACCCCAAAAAGCAATCATTTCAAACTTTTTACAAAACACAATTATACATTAAAAACTTTTACAAATGAAGTACACTTAAGCATTTTTTAAAATAAATGGAATGTACGGCAAATTCATTCATTTTCCAACCCACTTATTCCCTTTCGGGGTCACGGGGGTGCCTACCTCCAGTGCACATTTGGTCAGTTGGTGCCTGTAGTCTCTAGTCTAAAGAGAGACATCGCATAGAGCAAGTAAGCCTGCACACTATCAGATACATCCCTCCATCGAATAATCCTCAGTGAAGATAATAAAGAGATTAAACCCGTCTACTTCTGGATGCGCTTCTCTGTCAAGATGGTTACGGATGGTAGAGTTCATTCATCTCCAAGGTATTTAGTGAGAGGGGGGTATTCTGAGCTTTGACTACCACAAGATGCACTTAAATTTCAGAACCAGCAAACTGTTGAGAAGCAGGAGTGCCTGAAGTCTGAGTTGAATAATACACAGCTATCGTGACTTGAGTTTTTGAATACAGCGTATTTATATAAAGCCTATGAAGATGTTAATGTAGGTCAGAGAGTACAATTAGTTAGAAATGGGACATTACGAATGATATATTTATTCAATAATTTTACTCATACTGGGGATGAGCTGAGGTATTTTACTGGTGTAGTTTAACCCTTGGAAGTTTTTGAGTGTTTACTGCTTTTAAATTTTCTCTACTTTTTTATAAATTATCTTTGCTTGAAATCATTTTATGTTTTTAACTTTTTAACACCTTTTTTTCATTACATTTCATATTAATTCCACAATAATCCTGAAGTCCAAGTAGTACACTCAAAAATTGAGAACAAACTATTATATTTTAT